AAGCAATCACATGTCATGCAAGGGTGGGACAGTATTGTTTTTCTAATCTTGAAACACTTTGGTTGCGATTGCTGCATCTCACCTGCTGCTTGTATTGCTCCATAGCATCTTCAAGGGCAGCCAAGAAGTCTGTGTTCTCTCTCTCCAATCGCTGGATCTGTGCTTGAAGCTGGACACTACTATCGTCTTTGTCTCCATCTTTCTCACTGACATGCACATGGCTCCACCTTTCCTCCGCAGCCTCTGGATCCTGGGTGATACAAAACGCAAAACACTTTCATAAACACAATCCCAAAATTTCCCTGACAACTTTCTAGATCTTGTTTTTTTGAGTATTAGAGAGACTCACCTGGTTTCTCACAGAAGGCCTCCCTCTCCTTAAAGCGCCGCTGTCCTCGGTAGAGCTGTTCTCAATGCCGCTGTCGGGTCCTGAAGCTGTTGTCAGTCCGCTCCGTTCCTCCTCCACCGAGCACAGCCACTCCTTCACTCTCAGACTCTGTTCTGCAGTCAGAGCCCCTTCACTCTGCAGCTCCCGCAGCAACCTGGGACGTATCAGTAAGAGGAAACTTAAGGTATATATAAATAGTTGCTCCATTGAATCAGTACAGAAGCCCGTGGCCCATTTTCGCGATAATTCTGGTTGTTTTCTCGAGAGATCTTGGCTACTTTATCTCATGATCTCGAGATGACAAAGCTTGATCACATAGACAAAATGTGATGTCCCTTTTTGTGATTTTATAAAATGATGCACATGGCACCAATAGCTTGCACATAGATTCAAATAAGAACCCCTAATGAATATACACAGTCATATTTAATGTAGCTAGTTGTGGTAAAATCAATTCTAGCACCCTCACAGCACATTTAAAAATCCTGCTTGGTTTACCCAATGTGCTCTTACCTGTAAGCAGTGTCGGTGCACGTCCTGTAGTGGGCGCTCTGTGCCTGCAGTCTGCTGATCTCTCCCTCTCCCAGTCGAGGTCTCCTGTTTGGATCAGCGTGAGAAATGATGCGGGTCTCTGAGCGCTGGCGGTTCTCAAGGGCCCTACGGAGGGCATTGATTTGTTGCTCCAGCCCTTCTACCCGATCTGGCTCACGCTTACAGTTGACTGTCGCCCGGTTCTGGATGTTTCTGGCCCTCGTCGCATAGTTGAGCGTATTCAGACTCTCATCGAAGTCCGAGGAGGATGGGCTGATGCAGGCAATCATGAGTGTTTTTGAATTTCCTCCTAAAGAGTCTTTAAGGATCCTGGAAAACACAAATTCAATAATTAATCCAAACTGATATTTCTCATTTATTGATCGACTGGTTTGTTCAAGTATATTTTTGACTTGACTATAAAATATACCTTGTGATTTTAGAATCTCTGTATGGTATATGAGAGCCTTTCCTCTTGGGATCCCCGAGTGCCCCAATAACATTTCCCAGAGCCAGTAGACCGCTGTTAATCTGAATGCTCTCCTTCAGTCTCTCTCCAGTGTTCCCCGTCCTTAAGATACGCTCTGACCCTGCCAGGTCCACAAAGTGGAACTTGGAAGATAACATTTGTGGTCCAGAGCTCGTGGCTGTCCCATAAAGCCGAGAGCTTCCCCGACGCTGGTCCATGTACACAGTGAAAATGGTGTGTGACCTGCTGGAGTTTGGATTCATCTGGGTTGCACCAGTGTGCCTGGCTGTGTTCCCTGACTCCAGTAAACTCAACACCTCATCAAGACCCTCCACCTCGCACTCCTTTACGCCAAACAAAACTAAGAAGTAGCACAAAAAAAAATCAGATAAACACAAATTAAATGATGCCTAACATTTCATATCACAGACGCAAAGCATAAATAAGGCTGCTAATTCCATACTTATGTTGCCTTTATCCTCCCTGATGTGGATGTCTTTACTGGCTGTTTCCACCTCCAGGAGGTCCTTGAACTCCTCCTTGTAGACCTCCAGATAGGAGACTCGGACAGAGAAGTCTGAGAGGTCATTTTCATCGAGCAGCCTGAAGATATCTGCGACAGCCCTGGGGATGATTCCGTGCTCCTCGTCTCTAAAGGAACCTTTGAAAACAAATAACACAATTAAAAACTCACACACGCAACTGGCCTTTTTGCATTCAAACTCTATGAGCATGGTGTGTACAGTGAAAAATAACACTAAGGTTTACAGCAAGAACTAACTGATTACAACTAAAGTTCAAGAAAAGAAAGTCAAAGAATATATAAAATACATGACTTACAAATGTTTGCTTCCCCAATGGTGTAAGTCTTGCCTGAGCCAGTCTGTCCATATGCAAAGACTGTGGCATTGAAACCTTGAAAGAAGGCGTCTATAAGTGGCAGCACAGACACCGAGTAGACCTCGTCTTGACAGCAGGTTTCCTCAAATAGGTAGTCACAAAGAAAGTGTCGGTCATGCCCCAAGGTAACACGGCACAGCTGTGAGTCCACGGTGATACAGCTCTCATGGCAGTGGAGGAGCTCTTTAGGCAGTAGGGGACGCACTCGTACAGCTACTTGCACCGCAGAAAAATCCCCTCTGGCTTGGCCACTGGGCACTTTGGGAGACATTGCTGGTGCACTGTTTCTGTGTTCTTCTGCTATGAGTGGATCATGTTTGGACCGCTGGAGGAGAAAGAAAAAATCATTCAGCAAAAGATTCTGTTTATGTCGACGGCTGAAGGACAAGCGAGACCACTTTGTAGAAGCCTATAACTGAAAGCTACAGCAGAAGGTTAAGGTAAAAAATATATTCAAGCAATGTATGATACAAAATAACTAGAAAGGAATGTCTGATTTTGGCCAAACAAAATAGAAATACCTGATGAATTATGTGTTTTTTTCCATCATATTCATGTAATAAATTTGCCATAATTTCAACTTGCTCATTCACTTACCAGCAATGGTTAAATAAAGCGGTTGATTATATGAAGTAACTCATATGGCAATTTGAAAGAGCTAGTGTCTGAACTACATTTAGAATTCGGCATGGGTTTTACACATTTGAATATTAGCTAGTTAACACTTGTTTATATAATACTCTGTTTATATGATAATACAAAGATCTCTGAGTAATGACAGGTTTGTATTGTTGAACTCAAAACTCAAAATGTCTCACCTTTGCCTATCGCAATTAAGCAAGATAAACTTTGAAGGTTTTTTCCATCCATATTTGGACTAGAGCAATTAAATGCAATTTCATCGTTATTCTGATATGAGCATTTGTAAATATATATTTTTAAATGTACTATTTATTGAGAATGTGCTTTGCTTTCTCACTAAGCATGTGCAGATTTTATCTTTGGATGGAGGCTTGAGTTGTCAAACTCAAAAAAAGGGTGATGCTGTCATGCCGCTTGATGCAGGCAGTTCAGGATTAACAAACCATGTGCTACCCTCAGCGCAATTGGTGCCAATTTATTTAGTGTTGAAAAAAATATAGACGTAAAAACAGTCTGTCATAGCTTATATGCACATCTCACTTTTTAAATGTAACTCCATATCTTTATCGCAATATTGACCATTATCTCACATATCATATTTCTCTGATATCACGCAGGCATAATTTAGAATGAAGCAAAATTGCCAATAATTTCCTCTCTTGTGACTGATTACTGCTGATTAACAGGAGCAGCAGACTCGCTGTAACAGTGCAAGTGTGAATGTTGATATGTGAATACATTTACATATCCTGGAGCCCCTTTATATCATAAACCTCGCAATTAGAAGAAATGACAAATACATACGCCTACATGATTCGTACATTTGACTTTTCTGTTTTGAGATTATTTACAGAGGTGGCAATGCATTTATCTCAAGCACAATGGTTTTTGCAAATATACAAACATCTGTTTTAGATCTAACAATAAAAAAGGCTTCAGTATTGACATCTAAATTAAACGATGAGTTTGACAACAGGATGGTAAAATATTTCAACCTATTCGATCAACATAAAAGCAGCTCGCTTCATCTTTCCATCATGATAAATAATAGCTTGCAACCTTAAAAACCTTGTTTTAGTCCTTAAAGATAACTCCTACAGCATTATGACATATTTGTTGAAGGGTGTTGTACCATATAGGAAGCAAGTTTTGATAATAGTATGATTACATTTTTTAACCTTCAGGGAAATGATCATCACATATCAAAATCACTTAATAAATAATACTCGCATTACAACATCAACATGAATTACACCACTGTATGTCTGTGGATAACATTCAGAAACATTATTAATACATATATTTAATAATGACCCTTAAGATAGTAGCTCAATTGGAACATGTTTAATTGTGTGTGAAGAAATAAAAGCGCACTTTATTAAAGAAAATCACAAACTGCACAAGTTTTTGGATGCTTGCAAAGAAACTCGTGAAGTTATGTCAATCTTATTCTTTAATTCTTGAGGCATCTTGTCTGTGCTTGAGTAAAACAGCCACCCTCATCCTTTAAAAAAAACACTTTTAAACACTTTAAATTGACCATGTTAGCAACAAGGCGTTAGCTAGCCACCCTCACCGCTGTTTAACAGAGTAAAAGTATTCAGGTAACTTTACTCTTATCCCGTAGAAAACATTCACATTTCTTAAAACTTGTATAAAAAGAGGTTTACTGACTTCCACACGCCAGCCTGGTCGCCTGTTTCCAATAAAACTTTGGCTAAGCTAAGGTTAGCCCCTTAGCCATCTGCAGTCGGGACAACAAAATCAAAACATGAGGATGAGGTTTGATGTCGGTGTCCAGGAGAGATAACTCATGTCCCAGTAACAAAGTGCTAACTTTACATAAAGTCGAATCGCATGCAATGACTGGTCGGATTATCTTATCACTTTAAAGTGGAAAATAACGTACTTTAATGTAGCAGAAGTTACACCGCGGATTCGGAGTAAATCTGAAGTGATTTTGGAGTATGGAAGCTGAGGAGCAGTCCGGGAGGGGGCGGGGCCATGAAAAACTTTGAGACACAACCATTGGACACAACCCTCCGACTCCAACACGTGGGAGGAGTCTACTGCAGGACGTACGGTGCGTTCACGGATTTCTGAAAAACGAATCACGAACGCCTGTTCAAATCGAAACAACAACTCTGAAACTGGGGGAAAGGCTGGGTTATATTTATCAACATAGCGGGCGAAAAGTGTTTTGTTTAACGGTAAGAAACTTTTTGTTAATTCACATATTGCACGTGAACTTGAGTATTGAGTACATTAGTTGTTGTCGACATAAAGTGACCTAGAGTAGCCTAGGCTACTTATTCTTTTAACTTCAGTAGGTATTTAACCATCAAAACAAGTCAGGTACGTTTGCTTAAAGTAATATTTTAGAATATGTTCGCATTCAACCTTGATTAAAAGTCGGGAAATGTTCACTTCCACATCTCGGAGCACATGAACGTAACAGTAAACCGCTGAGAAACCTCTTCCTGAGACCACTGTAGTGGGCATTGTAGCCTACATGGGGTTCTTATCTCTTGTGCTATCCATGTCACTCTATTGAGTTAATTTCATCTTTAAATAGAACTAGAGTTTTAAAATGACATGAAATGGTTTCGGCCTTGCTAAGTGCATTTCAAAGATCTTTTAAAAATGGCTGCCAAACACATTTTATGGAAGGATGAAAGATAAGCATGATTTTCATAACTAAAATGTTTTTGGATGTTACATTTAGATTTTTTTTTAAGTAAGTTACCATCTTAGCAACATTTGAATGCATTTTTAGAACTGAGTTTATTTATTGTAATAAAAACACAATTTATTTGTACTGATGTTTGTGTCACGTCTGATTAGTGGACAGCTCTAGGCAGAAAAGATTCATTACAGAATCACTGAGGAAGACGCAGACATGAGTCTGTCAAAATCTATTATATTTACAGTCTATGGTCAAAAGGTGAGAGTCAGGACTTCCGGTTGGAACACCGTCATGATGGCCGAATAGGGAAAGAGCTCCTGACTAGTGATGGGAAGTTCTGCTCTTTTGGCTCTTTCGACTCCCAAAGGTCTCTTAATTTAGGATCTTTTGTAGCCTCAACTTTGCAAAAATGAATGGTTTGTGTGTTGAAAACCCTTTTGTGTGCATTTATTCTGTTACAAAAGCATTCTTACTCTTGTTTAATATTTTAATCAAACTTTTTAATTGCACAAATACAAAAATGCAAATACAAAAGAAATACAAAAAACTGCAAACAAGTCCACAGAACAGAACCAGAACTCTTTAATAAAACATTATGAATGTCCTCAGTGCAGGTTGGCCTTGCGAAAAATTAGATGCCTCAGCTTGGATGGGCTGATGCGATTCCTTCTTTCTGTAAGTATCTGCCCTGTTTTTGAGAAGATTCTCTCGGAAGGAAAAGATGTTGCCACAATACACAGTCTCCCCTCCAGCACCTTCACCAGGTGTGGGAAGACTGGGGCCTTGGCCTGCCACCAGCTCAGTGTAAGCTAAGTAAGCTGCGGTTGGAGAAATGGCCGACTTGGAGCTGATTCTGCAAGAATTGAAAGAGTTTTGACAAGAGAGAAAAGAACAACTAGAGAAAATTAAAGAAGAAATTCTGAAAGTGAACACCAGAATGGATGAAGTGGAAGGGCGAATCGAGAAAGCAGAGGAGAGGATTCAAAACACAGAAGAAGTCCTGACGGAGATGCTAACGCTACACGGGTGGCTAGAGGACAAGCTAACGGACTTGGAGGGAAAGAGCACACCGCTCAGCGGGGCCACTGCCGCCAGATGACGCCCACGCCACGCTCCATCAAAGCAAAGTTTTTAAGCTTCAAAACGAAGGAGACACTGCTCCGCAAGGCCTGGCAAGGGGTGGGGTTCACCTGGCAAGATAAACAAATGAATCTGGATCACGACTATCCACCTATAATCCTCAAAAGGCGAAGAGAATACGCAGAGGTCCGCATGGTACTGAAAGAAAACCAAGTTCAATTCCAGACCCTCTTCCCAGCCAGGCTGCGGGTAAGGACGGCACCAAAATCTACGATACCATAGAGGAGGCAACAGCATACCTGTCGAGCAGAGGCTACACCGTCAATATCATCAAACTTCCGGAGATGCTGATGGAGCAGATATGGCGGCTGACGTGGAGGAAAGCCGGTAGGCAAGCGGGGAAAAGGCGCATTCAACGCCGGGCGAGAATCAAGCTACAAGGAGAAGCTCCGAGCCTTCAGGAGATCTTCACCAGCACCTTCTGTGACCTAATGGATCTTATTCCTTTGGACCCACCACTTGTTGCGTTTCTCTGTCCCTTCTCTACCTCTCTTTGAGCCCGGGGACGGGTGAGTTGCTAGACATCGCTCCTTACAGTGATACAACTGTAAAATCGGTAGAAACCTGTTAGACTTTTAAGAGGTTCGTTCGGGTTACACTTTTTTTCTTTTGCTGCTGCCATCGCTCATAAGGGCCCTTTTCACCTGTCACAGGAGAAAGGTTCCCCCTTAGAGCCTCCTCTACGAGGCTCAGTAGGGTTAGGCTTATAGACCCCTACATTGGGAATCATACTGACAATTCTTTTCTTAATTGAAGGGTCTTGTATTTAATCCTGGCCCTTTTCCCTTGCCATATATATCTTGATATTAACCTGTCCCATTCTGAAAACTGTTTAGGAGGTATTTTGACTGGTAGGCACTGAAAAAGGTAGAGCATTCATGGAAGAACATTGATCCTGACCGAATTAATCCTAGAACTTAAGCTCAAAAAAGGAATAACATTCCATCTTTGTATGTCTGACTTTAGCCTTGAGTTTAAAGGAACATAATTAATATCAAATATTTTGGAAAAGTCCCTCGGCAAAGCGACTCCCAAATATTTGATGTAATCTGCTTCCCATTTCCATTTATATAAATTCCTAAACTCAATTGGAGGGTCATAATTGAGTGTTAATACCTGGGTTTTATTAATGTTAATTTTGTATCCAGAAAGTAAACCATATTCCTTCAGCATTTCCATTAATAGTGGAAGTGTCTGTGTGGGTTGAGTTAAAGTTATCAATAAATCATCAGAAAAAAAGAGCTAATTTTTGCTCCCCAGATGACATTGGTACCCCTATGATGTCAGACCTCTGCCTAATCCACCGGCTCAGGGGTTCTATGAACAGGGCGAAGAGGAGTGGCAATGCACAGCAACCTTGTCTTGTTCCCCTTTCCAGAACGAATGAGTTGGTTAAATCGCCATTAATCTTGATTTTGGCGGTTGGTTTATCGTACAGAGCTGCAAATGTGTCAATTATGGTTGTATGTAAGCCAAATTTTGCTAGTACTTTATATTTTGGAGGGAGTTGCATCCTAAATGATTAATTACAGTGTCTTTGTTGGCTCTTCTCACAATTGTCCTGTAACCTACATTTAGTCCCCTTATTTTCCTCTGTGATGCCTTAATATCCATTGATATGAATTCAGAAAAAGAAAATGTTGTCTGATGTTTTTCTTCTTAGCTTATCAGAGAAGCTGATGATACATAATTTCACATCTTGTGATTCACAGTGTTTTATAGTCCTAACTATCCATTACTGTAACTCGTTCATCTCTTTTGTCCTTTTCAAAGATTGTGTGTGCCTGTTAAAAAAAAAAATAATAATAAAAAAAAAAAACTGTGTTACAATAAAACATTCAGCAAAAAGTTGCAGGCTTTTTTTTGTAAATCAAGCAAACAATCAAACTATTTTTGGGCTGAAACAGAGACCAGAATCAATTCAGAAATCTGTCAACATTTGACCTCTGAAAAGATCACAATAAACTAACAAGAGAATATATGTGATGTATTAAATATGTTTAGTTTCTCATCTTCTGTTCCCTGTACTTTGTGCCACAGAAAAGAAGTACATCTAGTACTGATTAACCAGTGGGCTCCCGTCTGCTTTTATTTCCTGAAAAAGCACACCTCCTTTGTTCTGAGTTACCTTGGATGAGCTTGCATAACTATTCCTGCTGAGACTTTGGCTTGACAAGTTACTGCCTCCTCAAAATACATTATCTACTCAAGACAAGGTAAAGTTAAACAATTTGAATGTTTAATTTGAGAAATTGTATCTTAAGCTTTAAGTATGTAAAGCGTCAACATATTGGACATCTGCTGATTAACATGTAGATGGAACTATACATTTATGCAAAATGTTTCATTTTATAGGCAAGATGAATTTGGAGGAATACTTCAAAAGAATCGGTTTCCATGGCTCATTTGAAAAACCAGATCTTGCAACTCTGAAGTTGATCCACAAACAACACACCATGTCGGTGCCATTTGAAAACCTCAACATTCACTGTGGTGAGAGGATCGTCTTGGACCTGGAGGTTATCTTTGAAAAGATAGTGAGGAACGACCGTGGGGGTTGGTGCATGGAGAACAACTTCCTGTTTGGCTGGGTGCTGAGAGAAATGGGCTATGAAACTTTCACCTGTGGCTCCAGAGTTTTCAGCAGTGTCCTCAATGACTTTCAGACGATTGAATCTCATCTCATCCACATTGTCACTATCATGGGAAAGAGGTATTTAGCAGATGTAAGCTTTGGGGTGTCTTCCCAAATATGGGAGCCCCTGGAGCTTGTTTCTGGGAAGGACCAACCTCAACCACCGGGTGTGTTTTGTCTTAAAGAAAAGGGGGACTTTTGGGTGCTAGAGAAGACTGCTAGAAAGCCAGAGGTTCTCAATCCGGCCTTTGCTAAATCAAATCTGGTAAACAAGAAGGATGTGCATCTGATCTATGGCTTTGAACTGGTGCCTCGGGACATAGATACTTTCTTTGAGGCCAACAACAGTCTCCAGACAAACCCTGATTCATTGTTCACCAATAAATCCATATGCTCTTTGCAAACTCCAACAGGATTCAGAGTCCTTGTTGGTTGGACGTACAGTGAGGTCACCTTCAAACCTGAGAAAGGTGTTGATATCTTTAACATGAGAGACATAACAGATGACGAGATTGAGCCAATTCTTCAGCAAAAGTTCAACATAAAACTGCTGAACAGACTGCAGCCTGCTAACAAAAAGGCATCCTACACACTCTGAAAATAATCTCTGATAATGAGTAGAGACATACAAATAAACACCTCCCAACATGTATCATGCCATTTCAATAATAGAATCCATTTTGTTTGCAGATTAAGAGTTGGGAGGTAAGCAAGAACGTTTTAATCAGAGTCCAAGATGAACAAAGAACAAGGATTTCAAAATGTAGTTTGACTTTCACTGGATTCCAAGTTAGAGAAAATAAGATGGCTGTAATACGATTGGACTTGCTGGACCTAATTAACAATGTTGCAGCTGCATTTTGAATCATTTGTAAACTGTTGAGGGAGGACTTCTTGAGGCAGGTGAAAAGGGAATTGCAGTAGTCAAGCCAGGAAGGTATAAAAGTATGTAATGAGAATCTCTATCACAGCTTGGCAGACAACAAATTACAAAAAAAAAAAAATCAAGTTTATTTTGTTCATGTTCGACAGACACAAATCAGTCTTAAGTTTAATATTGTTAGTGACGTGCAATGATAAAAATGTAATTTTAACTAACATTTTTATGAACTATTACATAATGTTGTTTAATGAACCATAACCTTAAAGGGATACTTCACCTGTTGAAACATGAATCTGTATTGACATTGGGTCATATATGTAGTAGAATTGTGAAATAAATTTTGAAGTTGGTGCCTTCTTGGCCGAGAAAAGGCAGAAAGTGTCTTTTTGGCTCATGTGGATGAAAGACATCAAATCCCAGAATGCACAGCACCGCAGGCCAATCCCACTAAGGTCCTCGATTTCAGAATCAGAATCAGAAATACTTTATTAATCCAAGAGGGAAATTTGATTGTTACAGTTTCTCCAAAACATACAATATAGCAGTAGAAATATAGTAATAAAAACATTTACAGACATATTTACTTCAACACGTAAGGCCATTTCCTCAACAGAGTCCGAGATTTCTTCCAGAATTTATTCAATTGATTGATTGATGGAAATTCCTGGCAGAAAACAGACTCTATGTCTGTGTCCATACAGACAGTGAGAGCACCGAGACTACCGGTCGGCCCCAGCTCGAGCCGGCCCGGGCTCCTCGTCCTCTCCACCGCCGACAGGCAAGCCTTATGTCTCGGCTGCTGAGCTGGCAGTGGCCGGCGGCGGCCAGCAATATAGCCGCGAGACGGTTGCTGCCGACAGGCCGGTCTTATATTATATATATATAGCCGTCTCTATATTTATATTTTTTTGCCATTATCAGCTTTCTCCATAGAGCCTGTTAGCATAGCTTCCAAGCAATATGGCGGACGTTTCGATTCTGGGAGTGAGTTCCCACCCACTGATCTGTGATTGGTCTGTAGCTTCAGTGGTCGAAAATATGAGGAACTAGCGTTGTAGTTTCACATCGCTAACCGCAACAGCTTCCAGTGACGCAATATGACGATATTTGAGTCACTGGAAGCTCCTTTTCAGACTCAGAAATACAGAACTTTCCAGTCTCGGGGGGGAAAAATGAGGGCTGGATGCAAAATACTACCAGTTTACTACTGATGCAATGCTTAATGCAAAGGGGTGAAGTATCCCTTTAAAATTACTAACCATTATTTGACATATTAAATATTCATGTGATTCATTTAAGTAAATAGCCTATGGTTATAATCAATCTGTATCAGATAATCCTAAATAAATGTATCCACAATAAAGATAAATATGTTCAATGAGCGTTGCATTGCCTCTTTTTTATTTTAATAAAATAAGTGTTGTGTCATGGAAAATACATTGTAAGGACTGTAAGTGTTGCATACGAAGATTATAATTACAGGAACTGACGTTTTGAAATGCAAAAGGATCTTAACACTTGGGGAAACTGCCTTCATGGATTTTTACAGTCTATGGTCGGGACTAATTATTGGCCCAGGCGCTAGGGGGCGGAGCTATGTGTACCGCCCCCTTTTTTTTTTATACACCCAATCATGTAAAGGCTGAAGATAAGACTTAACGTGGATTGGTTAGTACAGCCTGTCCATCAGGAGAGGGGAAGCAGGAGCACAGCCAACCGCAGGCTGCTGTGCCGGGACTAGCAGACATGAACTCCTTGGAACAGGCCGAAGGTAGCTAACACCAAAATACGCGTTATTTACCACTTTTAACCTCTGATATGTGTTAGACTCGCCGCTACAATATCAAGCAGAATTCAAACAACCACTATAGCATGTGATTTCAAAGCTTAGGTGGAGCAATAAACAAGCTGTCTGCTGACGACCCTTAGCATGTTTGCTAGCTCTACTTAGAGTAGATATCAAGTCGTTCAAACGCATATTGAACCTTAACACATATTCTGTTTGTGAGTCTCAAGGTTTTATATTGTTTAGGCTGTGGCATAATAGTCATTTCAGTCATGCCACTTTGCTTTTATGTCATTGAAACGATGTGGGAACAAACCTGCAGCTGCTTTCACTTTATACCTGAGCTCACAAGGGCTGAGAGAGAGCATTTGACATATTAGACAAGTTAAGCTTTTGGGTCATACTGTCATTCTTATAGGCTAAATGAAACTAATTAATAATGTGCCTGTTTTCGTTTCAGACCTGAAGGCTTTTGAGAGAAGACTGACAGAGTATGTCTCCTGTTTGCAACCTGCTACAGGCAGGTGGAGAAGTAAGTAACTATTCATTTTGAGCATTAACTTAAAGCAGATGCTGACATGTTAACTTCATGTATTAGGTAAACCCTCTGTTTGTCTAAACCTTGAAGTAATAGCTCCTACTCACTTGCAGACACTGAGTCAGTTATAATCACGATTTAAAGATTTGCCAGATGTTATCACCAATATTAATATAATACTGTTGCATGTTTTTAACTCTGTCTTATTCTCCTGTCCTGTTTCAGTGATTCTGATAGTGGTGTCTGTGTGTACGGCCACTGGTGCTTGGAACTGGTTAATTGACCCCGACACACAGAAGGTAAGTATTGGTGGACAGAAATCTTTACTCTTGTCGCTTCTGGCTGAAAATAAACATATTGTTTAGTAATATAGCCGCCAGCAATGCATGTGATCTTGCACTAGAGTCACATCATTGAGTCTGTTAATGACTTATTGATAAGCTGAAACACGGTTTGTATATTCAGAGTGATAAGATGTAGCTGCAGCCTATCCAGTATTTAGCTTAAATTCAGAGTACAGACTTTTGTAAATTTTGTTTTTAACTAGTATCTACCCATAGTGTTAGTTTAAAGCCCTTGTCAGGATTTTTCTTTTTAATATAGCGGAAAAAAAGGCTTATTGTAAATAAATGATTTTGGAAGTAAGATCTGTTTCTAAGATCTGATTTTATATAACATTATGATTTGTTTAGAGAATATACATGTATGCTAGTAAAAACAAATCTAAGTCTTATCCTTGATTTTCACGGGGCTGTCTCATAAAGATGATGGAATTCATGATGTGGTAACGTAGAGTGTCTATAAAATGTGGCTTTTAAGGCTTGATCTCCTGTTAACTAAATGTGCATTGGACCCTGAGACTTTAAAGTTATATTAAACTGGCCTTTGGTTGTTATTGCTTGTTAAAATAAAATCAGACAAAAATGAAAGTTTTAACTGTAACTGAATGTTGCTTTTCTCCTGTTGTCTACAGGTTTCTTTCTTTTCATCACTATGGAATCATCCCTTCTTTACCATCAGCTGCATCACTCTTATAGCTCTCTTTTTTGCTGGGATACACAAACGGGTCGTGGCACCATCAATGTATCCTTTTTCTGCTTAGTCTTAGTCTTAGATAAATAATCTTAGCTGCACAGAGCTGACATGCACAACCAAAGCCGTTGACAGCAAAAAGGAAGAATCATGCAGGATGTATTTGGGTTGTTAAACTTTGAAAAAAAAATTGACTTCTTCATGTTGAAGTTTTTAATCTTACTGGTTTACATCTTTGACCTCCTCCTTCAGTATTGCTGCTCGCTGTCGGACAGTTTTAGCAGAATACAACATGTCCTGTGATGATGTAAGTTAACACATTTCTCTAAAGTTGGGACTTTAATTCTGGTCAGTGTTTTTTGTTTTTGTAGAACTCTTCACACTTGTTTTTTATATCTTTCTTTTTACAGACTGGGAAACTTATTCTCAAGCCTAGACCGAACATCCAGTAACCGAAAGCTTGAATGTGGAGGTCAGATAATGGACCTGCTTTTTTTTTGTCGGCCACTGATCAGTCCGTGTCTGTCATCCTTGAGCCGGTTTAAACTACAACAAGAGAAACAGTGTCATCTTGATGGATGTGTTTGGATGAAGGAAGAAATGAACTGAAGGGGCCTTTTAACTGTGTTGCTGGTGGATCTCACAATTGCAGAAGCTCATCTGTCTTTGATATATGGTTTATTTCTGATGCTGAGCATGTATTTTATCAAAATGTTTCTATTTTTTAAAGTTATTTACCTAATAAATACTTAAAATATGAAAACGTGTCCGATTCATCTCTGTAAGTAAAGCAACTGTCTGTGCTTATTGGGGGGGGCTTCTTATGAAATGCTGAGATGTTCGTGTTGGTGCGCTCTTTGTTGGCTTTGCGACAGCTTCCGTGCTTTCTGATAGGACCGATCACTTTACGGCAGGGTGCAATCTTCCACATGGCCTCCAACTAGACTGGAGCCGGAATGAGCGTATGAGGTTTGGTCAATCAATTCAAAGAGAAATCACTTTATATGCGCAGCTCGCACTTTAAAAAGGGATTAGGATGGGTAAAAGTAAAACCACGAAGTTTAAACGACCGCAGTTTAACGCTGTCGGTCTGCCGGTGAACGCTGTGAAGGAGGAAGACCCCGAGGAGGAACAGCACGATGAAGATTGTTGTCCAGCTGCAGAGTTGCTGGAGAAAGTATGAACACTGTAATCATTTTTTATCAGTAGGGTCACTCGTTGGCAAATGTTGTGTTTTACTCTAGAGTGGAAAGGCATTTAGATAAAATGAACATTTAACAGGGAGATACATTTTATACTCGTGCTTAAACTAAAATGGTCACGAGTGTAGTTCGTCCCCTCACGAGGATTTAAAAAAAAAAATGTTGTAACTCATCGTTTTATTGTTAAGAATTGTCCCTTAGACATGCAGCTCTAGAGATGTTTATTATAAGGACTCCACCAAAATGTGAATCAGTTCTGTTTGGAAAGGTGATGATGTCATGATTTTAATCTCGCCTACCTGTATTCCCATAGCTGCAGAGTCCCAGTGCAGACGTGCGAGAGTTTGCATGTGCCAGCATCTCTCGGGTGGTGCAGCAGAGTCAGACTATCCCGGGTTTCCTTCAGAGGGATGCTGTCAGGCGCCTCGGGCCCATGTTGCTGGACGGTAGCCTGGCTGTCAGGGAGACTGCCACTGGGGCGCTCAGGTGAGACTGTAGTGTAGAGAGGTGTGGACTGCACCAACACATATAGGCTGCATGTTTGAATCAAAGCTGGATCATTTCCCCCCAAAGCATCTTGAGTCCTGGTACTTGTGTTAGTATATGATCCTCTTCTGAAATGAGGCCCCTGGCCATAATAAGTTTGTGGCAACAACATATGGTTCCTGCAATGGACTCGGTTTAAGATGTACAAGAATGATAGACGTCAGCAACAGGTCTGTCTGTGACAGCAGTGTACCATTTTTCTTTTTTAACCCTTTAATAATAAAATGATGGGTTACCTATTTGACAAACGTTGTTAGTATTTAGAGGTTCTTCTCACTGCCAACATTTTGACCGAGGATGTCACCAGAGTGCAGGCACTGACTGAATTATTTTCAGCTGGTGGTCAAACAGCAGCAAATAAGAAGACAGCCTTGATGGTAATAGAGCGGAATAATATTATGTAGATCATTGGAAAAATAAATATATAAGAAGCTTTCCTTTTAGGGTTAATTCAACCTGTGCAACTATCACACATTTTTGATTTCATGTTTAGGCAGCTTGAAAGTTTTGGCAGAGATTCTGACATTACTTTCTATATTAGGAATTACTAATGCCAAAACATTAAAAGATGTTTGCGTCTTAATGTATATTTTTAGACAACCAGCTTTGATTGAGTTAAGATGCAGAGTACATTTTTTTTTCCATATAGGATGTTTTTGTTATTTCCCCCCTTTGATGGAGATCACACCATAACCCTTTTCACACATACGAAAATCTCCTGAAAAACTCCAGAGATTTGGCTACCCGGAGGGACTTTAGGTTGTATGTGAACGCAAACAGCCACATTTTTCGCACAGACTTTTCCCTGAAGTTTCTCTGGCCAGACCCCTAGTATTTTTTCATATGTGAAAACGGCTAATACTGCATTATGGGGGTACAGAAGTATTTATCTGTTTAGCCCTACAAGGGGCGCCATAATACAATGAGAGGTCTAGCTGAAAGGAAAAAGGAGCTTGTATAATTGAGGCATGTGTTATTGTTGTACTGTATTACTGATTGTACACAATTGTATTTTTCATTCTCTTCATGTTTATTTATTTGGGAGCCTGATCTCATCTGCATGTTTAATTTGCTACAGCCAAACCAAAACATCCCTGACCCCTTCCAAATTGGGAAGAATTTATTCAGTACAGATGAAATTTGACAACAATTTACAGCTAACACCAGTAAACATTATCATCATCATCATCTTCAGTGATCAGTCAGTGAGTATAAGTGACTGTTGTCCTCCAGTGGACCTTAAATCAACTTCCATGTACAGTATATCAAAATAAAACAGTCCCTCGCAGTCCTCCTTCAGGCTCTTCCTCTCTCACACTCACACAAAAACAAACAACATCTCCAGCGGTGAAACTCGCCAGACAATATATGATGAGTGTGTGTCTGGGACTTTATCCCCCCCCCCCTTACAGGAATCTGAGTGCATGTGGCGGTCAGGAGGTGTGTGAGGACATGGTGAAGCACGACGTCATGACTCCTCTGACAGCACTGCTTAGAGAGGTGAGACACTGCCACTGCTTTTAGCTCACCACACCAATTCAAATTCTCCTGATCAGCAGTCTATTTTCACAAGTCAGGCTTAATTTAAAGGCACATACATTTGCTATTTGGGAAAACCTCTGTCTCTATAGCATAAAAAATACACCAAATTCTTGCATCAAATTAAAGCTTAAAGTTGTCATAGACCTCAAACACAGCACCTTATTGTCTTTTAGTGCTGTGCTGGATTTGAGAGCGCCGCTGCACCAACGACAGACCAGAAGAATGCAGTGGAGGATGTAGCTAATGAGGCTGTTAACCTATTGTGGAATCTATGGTAAGCCAATTCAACACTTTCAGTTGTTTCCCCTAGGTTTACAGCTTTTGACTATATTCATCCAGGAATGTTTCAGATGAATAGTTGATGCAAGATCTCTTTCTGTGTGCATTTGTCTGACGTCTTTCATGTTATGTTCCAGTGAGAGCAGCAGCCATGCTCTGTCTGTGTTCAACAAAGCTGGTCTCCTTGATGTCGTAGTCCAGTGTATGGAGAAACACCCGCACAACATTGAACTGGCCATATCTGCTGGTAGGTCCAATAAATATATATATATATATATATATATATACACACACACACACAACCAGTTTTCATAGAGGTTTTATAAAGGGTTGTCTGCATCTTGCTTGACAAGATGTATGTTTCATAACAAAGAAAGTCAGAGTTGCAGTCCTTCTGGTTTAGTTCCTTTTTCCATAAAAGTGTTTTTTCCCCAAACAGCTCCTACATTTAGATTCTCACTGACATCTTAATGTGTACAGCGTTTAAAGTTTCCTTTTGTCGGTTATGACCTGTAGTAGGGTTATGTCACCATATTCCTGAGATCAACAGGTGGCAGTATTGTTCAAAGAAGAGCAGCAATAACTGTAGACAGGCTGACAAGTTGAAAAGAGTATGTACACCATGCATTATTCAAAAAGAAACTTTAACAACAAAGTTAGTTTACACTCAGGGTAATTGGCCTCTGCCTCTAGCTACCAATAAAGTTAGTAACATGAGAGTGGCATTTATATTTTCATTTGACTAAAGTATGTTCACTTATACAGCTTGAGAATGATGAAGTATGATGGCAGAAAAATAAAATCAGGAATTAGAAGAAACCATAGGTGATCTATCTGCATGTGATAGAACTGTTAATACTCGTGCATTTTGTGTGTGGCCATAACATTTGAATGAATGACAATATGGAAATGGAGCTGACAGCTCTGTGAACCATAATAATACTGATGATTACAGAAATGTATTTCATAATAGTTATTGTTTTACTGACTTGTTCAAAATAGAGATTTCAAAATACACTAGATTTGTCTATGAGTAACCAAGGCAGTATCAATCCAGACCAAATTAAATCATTGTTTTTTGAAAAAAGAAGTGTTTTCTAAAAGTGTTCTCCTCTTTGTGTTCGACCAGCACACTGCTTGCACACGGTGACTGAGGATAACCCAGAGCTGCTCTGCAGCTTGAACACTGCTGTGGTTGGAGTCCTGGAGAATGCACTGCTGTCATCTCAGCCAGGCATGGCACATGTCCTCTTCAGGACTTTAGCTGCAGGTACTATTTGTCTCTTGTCATTTCTTTGTAAATAAATAATTGAAAATGACATAACAAGTGTTATAAGCAACATTAAAAAAGGTCCTTTATGAAGCAGAGGTTGTCTAATTAAAGATATGAAGCAATATGTAAGCACTCTGAATTTAATGTTGTTTGTTTTGTCCTTGCCTGCCCACCGTTTCATCAGGGACTCTGTGGAACATGAAAGGAAGTCTGCCTGCTGCTCGTCAGGCTCAGACCCTCAACGCTGTGGTGGCCACCTTGTCACAGTGCCTGGACCTGGACTCGGGTACAGTGATACCTGAACTCAGACGAGCAGAAGATGTGCGTAACAAAAACACACCAGCTGCTGACATAGAAGAGCAGGTGGCAGGAGAGCTGGCAGAGGAGGAGATGGACGAGGAGGAGGAAGCACCTAAACACAAGAGGAACGGAAAAGCAGCGAGAGCTGATAACGACTTCTCTGACCTCTTGCCTGTAAGTGGTATTTCTTGTATGGTGCTACATTGGTCTGCTGCTGTTTATGAATGCAACAGGTTCAGAGCTCTTCATGCAATTCACATTGACCTTTGAACACAGTAAAATAATACTTGTCAGAGAGATTATGAACCCTGTTTCACAGACAGAAGCAGTCCAGTATAAGAATGAGAAAGATCATTTTTAAGGGCTATTTCAGACAATATTTCCATTAGTTTGTTCAGCAGAGAGCATTCAGTAGATCATTATGATTATTATTTTCATTATGATTATTATTGTTTTAAATCCCAAATGTCCTGACTGTCCGGTACACATCATAGTAACAAAACACACAAATGTAAGTTTTTTTAATATCAAATGTGAAATAACTTGGAAGTATTTTCATAAGAATGCGATATATACAAGTCATTATGGTCCCCCATTATTTATCCAGTAGGTATATTTTTT